AACCAGTTTGCATGTGAATATGTGACATGGGACGTGATCTATTTGTCTTCAAAAATGTGATCATACTATAAGATCTCATCTCAATCTTTCTAGTCTTGTGTATGTGAATCGCTATGGTCTGATCAGTCCTTTTGTCTTGATATTGTCTTTGCAATATGATATCTTGCCTAGTTTGGTTTGGTATGAATCAGTCTAGTCTTGTCAGGTCTTAAGCTTTTGGGACTAGTCTACTCTGAATATTTCTTGTTTGGTTTGGTTTTAGTCTGCGTAAAATAAGATTGAGCAATGCTAGGTTCACAAACAAAATGATCACAAAGCTCACAAACTTACCAATTATGGTTGAAATTCTCATTTTAAAATCATTTTAAACTACTTTATCTTTTTATTGAAGTTCACAAATAGTAAGTTTGTGAGATTTGTGACCATTTTGTTTGTGAACCATCCATTTCCCAATAAGATTTACTCTAGTAATAAGTAGTAACAAAAAAAGGTGAAGAAAACACTACCTCACTCAATGAGATGTACACATTAGAATCAAGTACCCAGAGTATATAAGATTAAATACTTTCTTAGGCATACCTAATACACCAGTTTGTACCTTGGACAAGTAGAAAGTCCAAACTCCCAACTGATATAATATACTCCGTATTCCGTAAGCATGGGAACTTGATGAATGCTTTTTTTATTGAAAAAAAAGTAGTCTGATTTGGATCTTCTTAAGATATACTCTGATCCCATATCTTTCTAATTTACTCTAACACTATGTTTGGTTCAAGGAATTTGGAAGGAAAAACAAAGAAAATGATTTTCTCTCATTTTCTTCACCAAAATGGAAGGAATTTGGTTTTCACTCCACTAAGTATATTTTGCATTCTCATTTTCTTTTCCTTCCACTTTTCTTTCTTTTCCTCTCTAAACAAACAAGAAAAACTATTTTCCACTTCATTTTCATTTCTTTTCCCTTTCAAATTCCTTGAACCAAACATAGTGTAAATGTTTGAGGTTTGGTCTGAATCTTTGATATTCATGGTCTAGTAGAACATCCCATAACGGACATCCAAAAATTTGATTGTCTCGAACTCATAAACATATATGAGTAAATACCATAGTTTTGAAAGGTGACCGCCTCAGGCGTCCGAGCGACCTTGTACCACCAGGCGAGGTGTTGTTCGCCTTTCTCGCCTAAGTCGCTTGCTTCTCTCACCTCAATCGTTGCCTTAGGCGTTTGCTTTTCTTGCCTTACTGTAGTTTGGCTTCTGCTATAGGCCTTTTAAAAAATGGGCTGGCAGTTTTTAAGGAAAAGGCTAGCATCTTAAACACGACTCTTTTACACCCTAGTGTGCTACACCTACCAGAATCCAGTCAATCCACACAACTCTACCTCGTCTCCTCTGGTCTCATTGGCAACTCAGGTCGCACCTCCTCTCTCTCTTAGGCATCTCTCATCAGCTCTCTCTCTCTTCTCTCTGTTTCCTTTTGCAATTCTTCTGCCGCCTACTCTTTTACCATATTTTTTTATGCTTCAGATGTTTAGCTTACTTCTCTGGTGAGGAGAGGAGAGCGATGATGCGTATGATAATAATTTTGAACCTCTTCTTCCATCAAATATAATGGAAAATATGGATTTCTCTCTAAGTGATGATGATTATGATTAGGCTTTGAGAAACATACATAGTAACTACTCTAATTGTTTTGTTTAACCACTTTAACATGCATGATTTACTTAGGATTGACACTATTAATTGCTCTGCACTATTTATTTAATTTATTTGTGTGTATGCCCCAAGTTTGCCTTTTCACCGCCTGCCTCTCGCCTCACCTTTCGCCTTAAAAAAGACCCTCTCGCCTGCCTCTCTCCTTTTGCCTTTCAAAACTATGGTAAATGCATAGGACATGATGTGCAATAAAACAGAAAAAAAACAGCTACAATGTTTCAAATCTATTTTACAATGCACCTATAATTTGTTTGACTGATGCTCGTTGAAAAAGGTTCTGAGGAGGAGTAGGAGGATAAATGAAAATTTACAAACCTAATATATCATGGTCAATACTGCTTCTCAGCATCCCCAAATTTACAGAAGAAGGAGCATTCACTGCTACGGATTTTCAAACCAGATGATTCTATTTTTTCTCAAACATGCAAAAGGTCTTATGCGATGTTTTCCCTATTTTCTATGGAAAAAAAAATCATCATCATCATCATCATCTTCTTATCAGTTACAAGCAATAGATGAGTTGTGCTTTTGAACTTTGAGGAAACAGAATGGTCGGCGATGCAAACCACAGAATACATTTAGCACTGTTAGTGAATATCACACTTAGTGTTATATTTTTTCTTATTTGTTATGCTCGTGCTGATGTGGCTTAGCTTAATATGTTTAGTATAAATACTCTCTTCCTTTTCGTTTTGTATGAGTTAGTTCAGAATATTCCCGTAACAAACACCTTCTGTTATTTCCGATACAATGGAGTTCTTCGTTTCTTCATCTTCTTCGTTAAGCTCTTGAAGTTTTCTGCTCAATTCTTCAATTTGAGCTTAAATCAACATGGTATCAGAGCTGGTGAAGACTCGAATCTAGATCTCTGTCTCCGGTCTCCTTGTTTCCAGGTTTATTTTTTTTCTGATTGAATCAAGGATCCTTCATGGCATCACGAAATACAGATAATTCTGGTAATTCATCCACAATCGCACCTAGCGATCCGTTATACTTGCATCCATCGGATCATCCTGGGATGAATCTAGTCTCCAAACGGTTTGATGGTGAAGGTTTTGGATCCTGGAAGAAATCCATTTCGATTGCACTATCAGCCAAGAACAAATTGGAATTCACTAAAGGAAATATTCCGAAACCTGATAATGATCCTCTTAAACTCAATGCCTGGCAGCGTTGCAATGATATGATCACTTCATGGATTTTGAATGCACTCAGTAAGGAGATTGCTGACAGCGTTTTATATGCTAATTCTGTTTCTGAGATTTGGACAGAACTTGAGGAACGTTTTGGACAATCCAATGGCGTAAGGCTGTACCAATTACAGAAAGAGGTTTGCTCAATTACACAAGGAAACTCTGATGTTGCTGCATATTTTACTAAACTGAAGACTGCTTGGGATGAACTAAATATTGTGTGTAATCTTCCAAAGTGTACCTGTGGTGCTGTGCAAGCCTTACTCAAATATGAACAGGATCAGAGACTAATTCAATTTCTTATGGGCTTGAATTCAGACTATAATGTCCTTAGAGGAAATATACTGGTCATGAGACCTCTGCCAACTGTCAGCGAAGCATATGGCTTAGTTATTCATGAGGAAAAGCAGAAGGAAATACAAACCTCCTCACCGTTTATGGCAGAACATGCAT